TACAGGTAAGATGTTACTATGCCCAATACATAAATCTGACCACAAGCATTGCAGTTCTAAACTATCCAAACCAAGAATCTCAAGCCTAGTAACACAAGATATTCTATTATGGACAGAAGAGTGCTAGACTTTTCTTGTAAAGTACTTCTGAACTCACCTGATTATATTAATGTCCAATATGTGATAAGGATTCCATGTTACTAGCTATAGTAGACTTCCTATGAGTTAATAGATTGGTAACAGAAGATTTTAAAGTTTAATTCTGCTGTTGCTTTGTCTGTTAAATATAGATAGTAGATAGATGACAGGTCAAATACAAATAGATGTAGATATTTTGGGGCCTCTTTCACAAGTGGGTAAACTAATATTGTTGCAATATATTTATCAGTATTCATTGGAAAGAGGTAATATATGTATATATTTTCTTCTCTTTTTTGCTTTTTAATGTACTTTTTAAAATGTTGGGGGGGTTGGTCTTGTTTTTGCAAAAAAAATCTTTCTTTTGGAGTTTGTATTTTAATTTTCTGAATAAAAGTAAAAATTACGGTTTAAAAAAAATTCTCACAGATTCTAGGATTCGATGGAACACAGTTTGAAAAACCCTGATCAAAGAAGTTATAATTCCTTTAGTGGTCACCTGGGAAAGTTAAAATATCCATGGCCTTGGGAGTTTTTGCTATTTTTACTCCTAAAATAAAAAGAAGAAACAAAAATGATAGTAATGGCTGATCTTACAATAGCAGAGTTGGAAGGGACCTTGGAGGTCTTCTAGTCCAACCCCCTGCCTAGGCAGGAAACCCTATACCGTTTCAGACAAATGGCTATCCAACATCTTCTTAAAGACTTCCAGCGTTGGGGCATTCACAACTTCTGGAGTCAAGCTGTTCCACTGATTAATTGTTCTGTCAGGAAATTTCTCCTCAGTTCTAAGTTGCTTCTCTCCTTGATTAGTTTCCACCCATTACTTCTTGTTCTACCCTCAGGTGCCTTGGAGAATAGTTGACTCCCTCTTCTTTGTGGCAACCCCTGAGATATTGGAACACTGCTATCATGTCTCCCCTTGACCTTCTTTTCATTAAACTAGACATACCCAGTTCTTGCAACTGTTCTTCATCTTTGTTGCTCTTCTCTGCACTCTTTCTACAGTCTCCACATCTTTTCTACATCATGGCACCCAAAGCCGAATGGAGTATTCCAAGTGTGGCCTTACCAAGCATTATAAAGTGATATTAACACTTCACGTGATCTTGATTCTATCCCTCTGTTTATGCAGCTTAGAACTGTTGGCTTTTTTGGCCACTGCTGCACACTGCTGGCTCATATTTAAATGGTTGTCCACTAAGACTCCAAGATCTTGCAGAAACCATGATAATTAATCTCTGTATTCCATATTTCAAAATAAAAAAAAACATTCTGTTTTCCATGAAACATTTCAAAGCTCTGTGTATGCTTTGCCTTGATGCAAGATTATCTTACCATATCATGCTACAGTCAGCTGAGATGCAATGGATTGATAGAAATGATTAACTTGGATTTAAATGAGATTTCTTTAAAGTAGGGTGAATAGCATCTCAAGTAGAAGCAGTTAACAGCAGACAGAACATCCCTTTTCTAAATAAAGCCACTGCAAACAACAATGTGATGTGTCATAGGATCAGAAATATCTCATACCTTTATTATTGACTCTTTCCAAGCCAGAACCATGTGGAGCTTAAATTTCATAAATTATGATTTTCCAAGAATTATGACAGAGATATGTGGGAAGAATGAGATTTGTGAATTTTTTAAAATGATTAATCTTTTGTCAACCAAATTTATTTTAATAATAAGGGAAATATTTGAACTATTCTATATGACATTGCTAGGAGGATAAGCCAAAAATCAAACAGCCATATATGCCTGTAGAGGGCATGGAAAATATTACTAGTAACAAAATTGCATGAGTATATGAAATATTAGAATACATGAGAAATAATGGATTAGAATAGAAGTTAGAAATAAAAATTGCTGAAAATTCAAAGGGTTGTTGAAGTTGAAAGGCTTTCTAAATTATATTTTGAATTTTCTGGCTGACTTACAAGGTTTAAAAGAGAAATAAATTCACACATTACATTTCATTAAACACAAACAAGGCATTAAGCAAAAAACCTATACTGCCTGTTTTAACATATTTAAAACAAATAAATGGTTTCCAATTGTTTTTTCCCTTATTTCTCATTTGGAGAAATAAAGGACTCTACCTCCTACAGAGCAGCAATCCAGAGATGCAGCTCAGTGTAAGAAGTAGGAACTCAGAATCACTAAATTTCAGCAAATCCAGCAGGAAAGCTTTGAACCTTTTAAGGAACCTGAGTGGACCTAGACAACCGACACAACAAACACCCAATGTAAACTCCTGACCAAACACACTTGAGTTATATCTCTCTTCCAAGCTCAAATAGTGAAAGGACACTCCACTCTCACCAAGAAATCACTTTCAACTTTTTGGTGGTCAAGCGGAACACTTTCTGAGCACACACAATCATCTCTAAAACTGGCAAACCACTAGACAGAGTTGAAAGTTACTGCCCAATTGCCTCTTTGAGCTCCTGCTTCAATTCCTGGAAAAATTAATTATAAACAGACTAATTGATAACATGCTGAGTGATAATAATGGGAAAAAAATAAGGTAAGATCAAACAATACCCCCCATGACTCTGTAAAGGCACATACACCATTCAACTTAGATAATGCTGGTGACCAGGGGACACAAATTTGGACACATTGATGATTTGCCCATAGCAGTAAAAGAAAAACACATGGAGGTAGCTGACAGACAGCCTCCTATCCAAAGACTTTAAAATGTTGGGAAAATTTTTCACTAACTGGAGGCTCGCTCCTAGCACCAGCAAAACATTAACTATGTGGTTCCACCTTAGCAACGAACTTAACAGCTGCCATACTAGGAAGTTAAGACGACAGACTCAATGACACCATGACGATAGGCAAGATGCACTAGTGTGGGAATATAGAAAAGTTATGAACAGCTCACTCCTACCGGTGCTTGCCGACCTTCCTCATTTATCAGCAAGAAGACTCAAATCCAGGAAACCAACACTGACATTTGCACAACATCTGCCCAACAACTTTAACACTGATTGCCAAAGGAAAGCAAAATGGGTTGTTGAACGCCCAAACATAGGAAGGCATATAAATGACTCCACCAAAAAAGGTGCCAGGCTTTGAACGACCATGTCAGCGCTGAACAATCCTGAATAGGATTGACACTTCACACAGCATCTGCCAGGACTCCATATAAATGGAGCAGAGTATCCTTCCTTCAGTGTGACTGCAGGGTCCCACATTAAACTGTAGATCACATTGTAATTAACTGTAAACTGAGAGCATATACCAATCCAGAATCTAATTTTTTAAATATAAACAATACTGGGCTTCAATGGTTAGATGGCCTAGATATTTGAACATAGGTCTTTTTAACATTTATGTTTTATTGAATTCTACTATTCTAGTTGAAATGTTTATATTGCTAATCCATGTATGATATGGCATACACTAAATAAATAAATCCTCACTTGGAATAGATTAGATAATAGAATGAGGAATTGGAAAGATGCTTTGATTCTTATTTGCGTTGTGTTCATTAATATGTGTATGCATACAGTGGATAAATTTGGTATGAGAACTTGGCAGTTGGCAAGCTAGTTTATCATTGCAATATCAAAAATGTAGAAGGCACGAAATTCAAATTTTCACCATTTCAGGTCAGTTAATTTCTCCACCAAAGAAAATACTTTGGCCAGTTTTCTACCTTTGGTTCGTTCGTGAATGTCAGCTGACAGAGTAGACACTGATGTACATCACTGTATATCAATCAATCACCTGTACGGTATACCAAAGCAGCAAAATTACAAGGTATTTCTATAAGAGACCTCGGATTGTCTTTCGCCTCCGCACTATTAATTTTTTTTTAACTAAGGCATTTATGAGCTCCCGCACAAAGGCTGACCAATTTACGGCCCGACACCCACCCAAGGAATCGCCTCCGCTACCACCCACTCCGCCTGCGGCCAGGCGGGGGAAGGGGCTCTGTTTTGCGCATGATGACGAGACCAACCGATGACGAAGACAACAGCTGCTCTAGTATCAACGCGTGAACTGCGGACAGTTAAATAAGCCTCGGCGCCGCCCTCCTCCCTGCGAGGCGCGGGTCCTCAAGCGCCTCTTCCGAGCATCTTGGGCGCCCTCTCTTCGATTGGCGCATAATAACGCTTGTTGTTGACTCATACATTCAATACATGAGAGTCATGGACTCCTCCTTGGATACCGTAATAATAATCGAAGAAATCCATCCCTGCTGTCACAGCCGTCACAGCCGATCTCAATTACAGTAGGCGCGCACACAATCGCCTCTACGAAAAATAATGCAAACATCAAACTGCACTCCCTTATTTTTTTATTTATTTTTTTATTTAGTTTGTCACTTATGTACAAGATAACAGGAATAAGAATAAACATGAATAAGAATAAACATAAATAAGAACACAGGAAATGGGTACAAATAAATGAGGAGAGTAGGACAGGGACGTTAGGCAAGCTGCTGCATCTATTACTGATAAGGTTGCCTAATGAAACGCCTACAACAAAATGAAGTTCAAAGAGCGCTAGGGACCCCTCTTGTCAACTCCGAGCTGCAAATATTCTCCTTTATTGATATGAATGTTTATTGGCTCATTTTAAACTTTTTTTTAAAAAAAACACCCTAATTCACCAGAGTCAGTGAATTAAATTCCTCGCTGGAAATTTTCCTTCAAAAAAGTCGAAATATTTTGTCTGCGAGGCGAATTAAAGATGGCTTCTCTAAGGAAAAACTAGCGCGCTCTCTATTTTTTTAACTCGTTTAAGATTATCTATAATTTCCTATCTCTATGGTGCTTTACCATCACGGCATAGTGCGCACGCTCGCTCGCTCGTTCTCTATTCCCTAAACCGGAACTATGGGGTTGCTACGGAAACGGGTAGACGCTACCCGACGGCTTGGAGAGAAAGAAAGCGCAAAGGCGCCCGAGGCAGGCAGACCAAAAATAGGAAGGTGAGAGGTTTCTTGGCAAAAGATCGTTCTCAGCTCATAGTTGTTTAAATGCGAAATGGTTAAAATGTCCCTCCCTTTTTTGATTGCGAGATTAACTTTTACACGTTACAGTTTGCTTACTATTATGGGCGCAATTCCATTTCTGGCGATGGGCGCGGCGGTTTTTATATCCTTATGGCTCGCTTGTGAAGGACATCTCTTCCACATCACCACCTTACATTCTGTTCCCAGTATCATGGGGGTGTTATTTCAAAATAACAGACTTAATGACAGAGGCACACAGCTACATACATATATCCCTAGTTAAAATGTGACATTATTTAAATGTCTACTACACTTGTTGCGTTCTCTTTGATATGTGCATCTATATTAAGGGAACTGCAGCCACTGGAAACTATCACCTGATGATCCTTGGGGTAGGAAGGAGGAATTGCAGTCCATGAATAGACCTTTAACCTGTTTCATTTTGTGTTGTGTCTTCAGTCTGTTTTGACTTTGGGGGATCAGTTAGGTAAGTCCCTGTATTATTGGCATCATTTTCAAAAGTGCTTTGTCACTGCCTTCTTCCTAGGACTGCGAGTGGACTAGCCCAAAATCACCTAGTTGGTTTTGTGTCTAAAGCAAGACTAATGATCTTCCAGTTTCTAGCCTGATCCAGCCTTTAACAATTCCATCAAATTATATCTTTTTATTAGGACTATCCAAAATATAATAATTAAATTCAACCTAATATGACATTGGGCTAGATAATACTAAAGGCCATGAAAGATCTACATGATCTACATAGATTTAATCTAATAATACAGATTATGGTTATTCCATTTCATTGTTTTGTTTAGTAAAAGTACAAATTAATTTATCTATGGATTGTCGATCCATAGATAAAAATGGAAATCTATTTTCATTTAGCTTAAAATAATTCAGTTTTCACTTACAACTCACAACTTAAAAAACATTTAAGTTATTATTTTATCTTTTTCACAACACAGAGATATTCATCTTGCAATATAGACATAGGAAAATATTTCCTCACTTATTTAGGACTCCCTCATAGAGCACAGAAGAGACTCTTTTTAGTCCTGGCAGTATATTATATATCACTGGCAGTTACTCCATCACTTTTTTCACCCAAAGTGACCAGGGATTTCACATCATGTTTCTATACAATATTTTGGAATGTTGTTATATGTCAGCTTTTAAACAAGCTGAAGTAGAGGATTTTGAGGAAAAGTGAGCCGACTTGGCATGCATTACTGAAATCTGAGTGAAAAAGGGGATTCCCCTCTCAGAGATACGTCCAGCTGGTTTTGGGTTTGGCACCAGCTGAGACCCTAATGGAAGGGAAGTGGGGTGACAGTGGTTATTAAAGAGTCTCTTTTGGACTTCAGAGGCCTTTCTTTGCAAATTCCTGGTTGTGAAACCCTGTTTCTGAAGCTGAGCTCATGGGATCAGTTGGAATTGTTTCTAGTATACTAGCTTTCCTGCTGTGTGTCAACTTCCCTGCCTGAACTGCTGGAGGCTATCTCGGGGCTGGTGGAGGAGTTTCCCAGATTTATGGTTCTGGGAGACTTCAATCCTTGGGTTCAACTCTGGAAGCAGTCCAAGAATTCATGATCACTATGATGGCCATGGGCCTATCTCAGATCAGGATTGTGTTCATACACCAAATCTGATTTTATTGTTTGAGCAATGGTGAGGGATTTAAGATTATCTCCCTTATCATAGTCCGATCATGTCCTGGTATCCCTGAAATGCTCATATGCCAGCTGATGGATCCTAATCTGTTCCAAAGCAATTGAGGGATATATTGGAGGTGTTGCTGCATGGTCCTGTCTAAATCTCTAGGTCCTTGAACAGGATCGTGGTTGTGTGGCCTCTCTTGACCCATTGTTCCCAACCCTCCCTGTGGTTCATGGAGACGTTACAGGTTTAAAAGGGTTAAGACAAGCCTAGAGCACCGCTAGAGGAAGACAAAGAATGACTTGACTGGACATGCTTTAGAACTGTAAAAGGCCAACTTCATGGCAGTAAGAGCAGCAAACAGTATTATTTCTCTGACCTTATTGTATCCTCAGAGTGTCATTTAGTGAGTCTGTTTCAGATCACCTGTTCTTTACTGGAACAGGGGATGGAGATGTTGGGTAATCATCTTCAGGGCCATGGAGAGAAATTTGTTCAACAACTCACAAGCAAACTCATTTGGATTCGTTCCGAGTTAGATCTCATGCATGAAGAAATTCCCTGTGAGATACCTATGACAAGGTCGTCCACAGTTATCTAGGAATGGTTTGACCCGTTGAACCTGAGGAAGTGGACAAGATCTTTAGTGCTGTCAGCGCACTACCTGTCAGTTAAATCCTTGTTCCTCCTGGATGGTGAAAGCCTCCAGGACAATGACTACCAGGTAGATTCAGGCAGTGATTAATACATCATTATAGAAGGGGACATTTTGAGGGCCGAGAGGCCCTGGTTTACCCTGTCATTAAAAAAACCATCACATGATCCCATCTGCTTGGACAATTTTCATCCTGTTTCCAATCTTCCCTTTTTAGGGAGGTAGTGGAAAAGATGGTTGCCTGGCAGATTTTTACCTGGACCACTTTCAGTCAGAATTCAGGCCTAGTTACAGAACAGAAATGATATTGGTTGCACTTGTTGATCTCTGATAAGGGTGAGATGAAAGTAGTTCAACCATCTTTGCTCTTCTTGATCTCTCAGCACCCTTTGATTGACCATGGTATCCTTTTGAGCTGACTGCTGGGGCTGGGGCAGGGTGACACAGTTTTGCTTTGGTTCAGCTTCTTTCTCCAAGGCTAGCCCCAATCAGTATTAATAGCAGGGGTGGGCTGCTCCACGACCGCCCAGGTTCGGGCAATCTTCTAGCAAAGTTTCTGTGCGGTTTGGCGGATCTCCAAATTCCACTCCTGGCTGGCTCTGCCCACCTCGCCTCACCCCTCCCCAGAGTCTACATGGTTGCCAGGTAAGTGCAAAGCCTGCACGAAGGATTGGGGAGTGTGAAAAATGGGCCTCCCAGAGTCTCTGGAAGGCCATGGCCCAGGGGAAGCCGTTTTCACCCTCCCGGAGGGTTGAGGGAATCCTCTGGAGCCTGGGAATGGCAAAAAATGGGCCTTCTGGAAGTTCTGGAAAGCCGGAAATGTGAAAAATGGCCTGTTTTTTGCTTGTTCTGGGGGGGGGCACCCCAGGAGCATTCTGCAAGTTCCCCCAAAGCTATTCATGCCTTTTTTTAAACAAAATCGGGCCCGTTTTCGCAAAAAACAGGCTATTTTTGGGAGGTTTACAGAGTGCAAAAAAAAAATTCCCCTCTTAGAAAGCTCTTTAGTTAAAGTGATTGATGAGAACTAGATTGATCAAGTGCTGTGCCAGCAGAAACAAAATCTTAGGTACTGCAGATTGTCAGTGATTTCTTTGTCCAGCACATGGATAAATACACCTGGAAACATCTACCTATCTACTTAACTACTCTCTCTCTCTCTCCCTACCTACCTACTGTATTTCTCTATCTATCTATCTATCTATCTATCTATCTATCTATCTATCTATCTATCTATCTATCTATCTATCTATCTCCCCTCTATCTCCCCTCTATCTATCTACGGTATTTACAAATTGCCAGTAGATTATTTATTTAAAAAGCTCTATGCTCGATTCACACATTAACTACAGTACATATTAGATTTGGCTTAGCATGTTATGTGACCCCACTATTCTGATTTATAAATTACAGTTTATGAATTGTATAAATTAAACATGTTTGTATTCAATAAACCATTGTTAAAGAAGCCATGATTTCATAGATATGAACCCGATCATAATGTGTCTGGAAACACATATCTAATGAGCCAACATCAACATTTTTTTAATATTATTCATTGAAATGTTTTCAATGAAAGAGATTTAAGTTATCAGTATGAAAGCAAGCTGTAGGAATTTGCCCAGGCAGTCATCAGGAATCAAAACTGACTTAAAGCTCCTCTTACGCAAAAAACAATCCTCAATTCACTTATTTGACTTGTATATAAATTCAAAATTGTTTTTTACTGAGTTCAATATGCCTGAATAGAAGTATTTTTTATAAGGTGTAGTTAGTAAATCTAGTCTCCACATTTCCAGAATTCTACAAATTTATACAAGTAAAATTTATTGACAGAATGATTGGATTTCAAGATTATAATTTTTATTTTTAAGGTTTTTTTAATTATAGACCAAAATGTGAAGTTTCTCTATCAAGTTTTATTTTAAAAGTATTGCCCCTCATCCCACAATGAAAAAATAATAATTGGTTTTGCTGATTCAATGAGTCTCAAAGAAAAAACTATTTAGGAAAAAATATAGCCATGCCAGATTTAAAAAAAATAGTTACCCATCTCTGTGTTAGGGCAAATGGTCTCATCTATGACGTATCATAGTTCTCAGTATATTGTTAAGTCATTACATATGCCCAGGAAACAGAATGTTTGGATTTCAAAGAACCAAAGTATTTAGTTGCAACTCTGTTTCTCTCTTGCCTTGTCTATAATATAATCTTCCATTTTTCTCATGTCCTTTCCTCCCCTCTCTAATTACCTTTCCTTTTCCCCATTTGCCTTTCCTTCTACTTTACATAGAGTGACAAGCCTGCCTCTAGAGGATCAATTCTGCACAACAGAGCACAGCAATGAGAGGGAAACAAAACCTCCAATGATCCTGAATGTAAGAGCATTTAGAATTAATAGAACTACCAACACAGAAAAGCAAATGGAAACAATCAGTATCCTATCAGCAGAGAAAATGTTAAATAAACCTTAAATGACAGCAGTTATAACAGTTTGCATGCAGCATGGTATCCAAAATTTCAACACTAACCATTTGAATTCAAAATGAACTATGTTGAATCCCTTTAATTTTGATAAAAAATATGCAAGATGTTTGAGTTCACGTGCCATACATGCATGTGCCTAGCCACAAAAATGTCCCTAAATAGGATGACCTAGAACCGGGGCATGTGGGTAGGCCCATCCGCAATTTCCACTATTGGTTCAGGTGAACCGGTCCAAAACAGCTGAATACCACCTCTGTACATAACTAATATCAGATTGCCATTTACCTGAAGTAGAATGAATGATTAGATTTCTGTCTGCAAAGTACAGGTAGTCCTTGATGTACAATAGTTCATTTAGTGACTATTCAAAGTTACAACATCACTGAAAAAAGTTATGACCATTTTTCATACTTACAACCATTGCAACATCCCCATGGTCACATGATCAAAATTCAGATGCTTGGCAACTGATTCACTGCAACAGTTGCAGTGTCCAGGGGTCATGTGTTCCCCCTTTGCAACCTTCTGAGAGGCAAAGTCAAGAGGGAATACAGATTCACTTAACATCCAAGTTACAAGTTTACCAATTGCATTGATTCTCTTAACTGTGGCAAGAAGAGTTGTAAAATGGAGCAAAACTCATTTAACAAATATTTCACTTAGCAACAGAAATCTTGGGTTCAATTGTGGTCAGAAATCTACTATATTCTAGTCGACTAAACTCCACAGCAAATAGAAACACTGGTAGAAACACTGGCATTTTATACAATATGGAAATTTTTTCTAACTCTGGGGTCTGAGTCAGATTAAATGAACACTTTTGCAGATGGAATTGCATACAAAGCAATGGATTCAATCCTCAAATTGAATCAGACAATCCCGAATATCAGTATTCTTAGCTGATCCAGGTTCCCCTGCCCAGATAATAATTAAACTATTAATTAAAGAGCTGAGTGAATAAAGTTGTTCTGATTTTCTTATCATTGTTATCATTTTAGCATAGATTTAAATTTAAAATTCCCAAGAACTTTTCCGACAATGATTCATTGCCTTCAATCCTAGAGCATCCAGGAATGCAGTAAAATAGAACAGATTAATCAAGCAATCAAGATGCTTCAAACAATATCTTTTCAAACAAACTTTTCTCTGCATTGTTTATTGTTTTCTTAAATTTGATGATATTCCAGTAATATATCTTTCAATAAATGAAACACTGCTTCATACTTGCAATTACTGAATGTTGTTCCTTGTTACTTCTCGGCATTTGAAACTGTTAACTCCATCCCAGCACAATATTTTTGGTCTTCCCCTAATTCTTGACTCATGCACTGTTTTTTCATATATTTGTTTTGCAATTCAGTCTTCAGGCTGTCTAAATGATTAAAACTCTTCAGTGTATTTCTTCTGTATTGCTAATACATGTTTTGTAGCCACATTTGTTCAATATTCATCAATTACTGACCTTATATCTTATTGATTTACCATATTTACTCTTGGGTTTTTGATGTTCTCTGAGTTTGCTTCTCTTCACAGAGAAATTCATTATCAGGCTAGGTAGCATTTTAACTCCTTGTGGAAATGTGGTTTATATATAGTAGCTTGTGTTACTAGCCTCGGTTGAGGTATTGTTTGTTGCTTAATTGTTTCTTTGTTGATTTTGTTTATCTGGTGCTAGTTCTTGTTTATCTGAGGTATTGGTTAATAAGTATGTAGTAAAGAACAACACGTTTAGTTCTGTTTTGATTTTTAGTTGTTTCTTTTTAAAAAAATAGTTTGTAAATGAGGTTTATCTCAGTATTTCTGTTAATGGCTTATTTATCAGTACCATGATGCTAAGAATTCTCTTGCTTTTTTATCTTGCTTAGTATAAAACATTTACTTTCTTTGCTGAAACTGATTAAATTAAAGTCTAGGGAGATTTCATAGTATCTTCTTTTTGCCAATGGTGTTCATAGTTCTGTTCTATCAATCTGGTTACGTGTGGGTCTTGGGATGTTGTTCAGAGTACTGATGGTAACCTATGCAGCCCTCCGTGACACAGAATGTAGATATTTGTGAGACCATATATTTACAATTAATTAGTTAGGATATTAATTAATTAATTAGGAGACCATTGGAATACTCCAGGTTCTATTTATTAAACAATGTCATTTTATGGATCCAGGAGACATGCCTTCTCTGTCACTGTGCCTACCCTGTACTACTATATCTGAGTTGTAGTTCCCTACGACTGTGTTTGGGTTTAAATTATATACAGTATATTATTTTCAGTCCTCCTTGTAGCTTAGTGAGTAAGCTGCCAGATTGATTAAACAATTTATTTATTGATTTGATTGATTGATTGATTGATTGATATAATTGGTCTGTCACCAACTTCCCCTGCTCTGGCATCTTGGCTGGTTCCAAACTCTAAACCTGGCTAAGCACAGCTCCAAGAGGGGAATCCCACCTCCTTCCAGAATCAATCAGTAACACATGCCAAGTCAACTTGTTCCTCCTCAATAAGGTTTTGGCTAAAGGGCACCTTATTATTGACCAACCTGGCATTTACCAGGGAATCCAAGGCCTTCAAGTGTATGCTGCCCATGGTCTGGGAGTGACCTCAGGAATTGGAAGATGCAACCAGTACTACACATAAGAGGCATCTTCACCTGTGATAACTTGCCCTCTGAGTGCCATAGCAGCCCACACCCATATCCACTTTAATTCATTAATCCCTTTAAATGGTGTCCTGGAACTTGATTTGTTTTCATGTTGTTTTTTATCAGAAGCTCCTTCAAACCTTTAAAATGTCTTTTTTGTAAACTCAAAATTAGAAAATTATCCAAGTCACTCTTCTGATTTTTTTTATTTGTGTATACTTTTAATTATTATGACACCAGCTGGTTTTATTTGTAAATCCAGTATAACAACTTTTTTCCATATCATTCTTTTTTAGAACATAGAATAACAGAGTTGGAAGCCATATAGTCCAATTCCTTGTTTGAGCACAAGAGTCTATATCATTTCAGATAAATGGCTCTCTGGTCTCTTCTTGAAAGCCTCCAGTGATGGAGCACCCATAACTTTCACTGGTTGATTGTAACCTTTCATTTTTAAATCTACACTTAGCCCCCTTCTCAATCTTGTCCAGTGAGGCCTGTTCCTCTTCTGAAACACATTTTAAATCCATTTTATGATAGCGAGCAATCTTAAAAATAATTTCTGAGTGCATTCTGCTCAGATATCCTTGTATCCATCCAAGTTAAGAGTGTTTTGCTCCATTTCTTTTCTTCTTTAATTATAATCTTTAGTTCTTTCTACTCCTTCTAGTTTCCTATCTTCAAAGTCTCATCATTTTTTATAAACAGGGTTTAGATTAATCTGTGGTGTCAATGAATTTATTCAGAAGTTTGTATGCTCTCAACCATGAAATAGTCCTGATCTATCCAGTCCGATATTTCCAAGAATTTTGTCTTATAATTTAATAACATTTATAACTAGCCAGATCAGATTTATCACTCGTTTTCAACATTGTGACTTATAGAGCAAAATCAGTTTGGGGAGATCAATATGAAAGAAAGAAAAAGAAAGAAAGAAAAAAAAAGGCCAGGTTGGAAGGTCACCTCCATTCATTTTTATTTATTATGTAAGTTCAGATCACCTTCAGCTACTATTCTGGTTTTCTAAGTGGGCTATAAATTTGAAGTTTTTAACAGCTGAAAGTTCTGGCTACCATGGAATTTATAGATACTGGGGACAATGCTCATATATTACTAAAATGTTCAACCAATTAAGCAGACATAATTGGTAAATAGTAGAGTATTGGTTAATAGTTGAGTAATTACTAACCCACCACCCATAAAGCCTATGATTTTTTTTCTGTTTGCCTGTACCAATTTTCCTCAGTTTTTTAATTTGTAATTATTTGTTGACTTTTAAAAATGCTTAATTTTTTATTTGCAAAACATGTGAAAAAATGATCAATAATGGCTGTTTATAAATCTATAAAGTACAACTATAAAGTACCAAGTAAGCTTCTAGCATTCTCTATCAAACCAAGGCTTAAGGAATTTCAACTCAGATATATAAGAAGTTGTATTCTTAAGAATTCTTGAATAGAAATTATAAATTGCTGGTATGTATTTAACAATTTCATTTAGATTCTACATTATATAAATATTGTTTAAACTGAGAAGCAGTGAAAGATCAAAATATTGGGAAACAGCCTTATCTAATTCTTTTGACTATTTTATTCAGGAACTACCAATTGTACCCATGTCATCCTACATAAGAACAGTTTGCCCACCATTTCATTTTAAATAGATTGTAGGAAATCATCTACAGACAGTTTTTCCTGTACATCTTACTGAAGTCCAGAACTCAGAAAAGGTGAAAGAGTATTGAAAGAGGTAGCCTCTTATATGCCAGTCCTGCATATAAAGACTAAACAACTTCAGAAGATAAAGCAAAAGAACCTAGAGCAGCAATGGCAAAAAATATAAAGACATAAAATAACTTTGTCCAAACACAGAGACATGATCATGTTTGGGCTGTGGAGAGAACTATCAAGCAGTCCCACTTTTTGCTCTTATTTCATCCATAGAATTTAATCCAAAGCTGTTGTTCAAGGTTACACAATTCATTGGGCAAGCACAGGGTCAATAATTTCTTTGTGGCCTCAGTAATATATTTACTATTAATTTGTGGATAATATCTCTCACATTTGCTCCATTTGCCAATTGTAAATTCCTTAAGATAAGGGAGGGCACGACATCCTGTATTTCTCCGATTATTTTAAGCCAAGCCAAAAGCCAACTTATCTATGGAGCATAGCTGAGCCGTTTCTCGAATTCTGCACAATTAGAACTTCTACAATTCATTTTTTAAAGAACAATCCTTCCAGCCCCTATAATATTTTTAATATCCCTCTCTAAGTAGAGATAGGGTTTATGTGGGTGATCATATTCGACTTTTGGCTATAGATTGTATTTTTTTAATCTCTTGGTATTTCCCCGTTAATTATGAGTGATAATTTTCAATTCATATGAAAACCAGAAATGGTAACTAAAAACTCATTTTTGTGCTTCTCTCCTAATCTTCTATGGGATATTATCAGCCCAAAGCATTTATTAAACTTTTGTGTAGCAAACACAAAGTAAGGATCTATCCAAGACCCAAACTTTATTGCCAGTGAATCCAACATGTATTCTATCTCCCTATGGCATACTTACTTAATTAAACTAAAAATACCTAAAAAATAGAAGGGCCTTTACTCTGGAACACTGTTATTGTCATGAACATTGTCATACGCACGCACGGATGCAAACATACATACATACATACATACACACACACATATATATATACATATACAGTATATAACCATACACATACATGCATATACACGCAGCTACTTCATCATTAAAGCGCTTGTAACTTGATACAATCTTGATACAATCTTTTAGGCCCCCCTGTACCCTCCATTGCTGTTTTCCCTTCTTTTGGATTCTCCTTTTTTTAAATATGCTTAGTTTTAATTCTGATATCTTTTATATCTTCTAGTTCTTTATAATTTTTCTTATTTTATATTTTTGATATATTCATTTTCCTTTTTAAATGAATGTATCCTACCTTTCTTATGCTGGTTTGTGTCTGCAATAAAGATGTAATTTGAATATATTTTTATAGGTTTTCCTGAAGTATTGCCATGTATGAAGCAAAGGAAAGACAGAAGTTTATCAGTGATGCTCAGTACCTAAGAGAGATGCAGCACAAGATGGATTCAGAATATCAGGTTATAAATTATATTTCAATATCTTGCTTTTCTTACAAAGAACATGAACCAGAAGTAGTCCTCCCCAAATTAAACACTGTTGTCTGGGGATACTGGGGATATATTCTTCGAGAAATCTGGAGAGCTTCTGATTGGGAAAAATTGGCAGAGGGTGCTATGGATGTGTGGCCAGATCCAATTAGCTATTGTTTGAATGTAAGCCTCCACATATAACTCATTTAAAATAGATATATGGTTTATGTATTAGGCTTGCCTGAGAAAACAAGACTACATTAAAGACCAGTCTGATAAAAAAAGAGAACAAAGCAGACAAGAACTGAGACAGAGAAGTGTATCATCTATCTCTCCAGTACGCAGATATGAAAGGCCATGGATTTCAAGACTTCCTGTTAATAGACAGGCAAGTATTTGACAATATCTTTTTGGAAATTTTCTTTGTGAAATTTGCTAAAGTATAGACCATTCCATTTTCTAAGAGTATTGTTAGAGGGGCTTTCTTCTGTGTTCTGAAAAGAAGATTACTTGTTTAATAGAGAATTAAGTAAAGAAAACATAATAATATATCTCTCATATGTTGAACCTTTCATATAAGGAACAAATATTAAACACACATATTAATCTGTTGCCTTTCATAGTAAACAAAGTTAGGCAAGTTATAGAAAAGAAGTAAGAAATAATAAGGCAAAGAAATTATAGGATAAGGAAAGAAAAGGACAACCATTTGTCAGAAATAGTACAGGTCTCCTGCATGAATATGAGGATTGGACTAGATGACCTCCAAAGTCCCTTCCAATTCTATTACTGTTATTGTTATTGCAAAAGAAAATACAGTTAAATCCACAATTCACTATACCTCTCCATAATATTGCTTTCATCACATTTGTAAACTGCTTCATGCATAGCCTTTAACTCTTCAGTCATTTCCCCGAAATTCTTCATTATAAAGTGGCTAAAAGCAAACTTTTGTAAAAAGGTATATTTTGTTTTTTTCAACAAAAATTTATTCTTTATAACAGATGGCACACTATTTCCTACCTTTCTATCAGCATTTGTACGTAAATTTTTGTTGTGACTCAGCAGAAGTTTGCTGTGAGTTGAGTTGGGATGCAGGAATAACAATGCAGCTGGGGCTCGTTAGTGT